TTTAAGAGGAATTATTTACTTAATGTATAAAAAAGAGTTAGAATGTAAAATTCCTTAATAACTTAATAAAATTTAGAGCAGTTTCATACAGTGGGTCACTTTTCCAGACTGACAAAATGGATTAATGTTTGTAGACTAAAATAAGCCCTTGATTACTGTAGAATGTTTCAGACTAGTAAGCCTGTTGAATTGTACTGTGATTTGGAATACAAGGGGATGCCTTGTGTAGTTTATAAACACTCCATTTCTTATTAGCTATTACCAGAGGAGCCCAGTAGACCTGCTTGAAATAGTCTTCTCTTTATAAAGAAACTTACTTCTTTGTGATTAGGACACACAGAACAGAGAGGAGGGAGAATACTAAAACTTTAAAGAAAGGTCATTTTGTCTATTGATGTTTTAAAATGAATAAACACTTTTCATTTTGATTGTGAAATTAGTTTTATATAGATTAGCTTATGGTACTAAAGTTATTAGATATTTGCCTAGAAGACATAGTCAAAATATGAAAAAATGATATAAATTATAAATAATTGGGAAATTAGATTGTTGAAAGAAAAAGTTTAAATTTTATAATACTAGGTTTTAAAAATATTTTTATTTTGCTTTATTAGGAACAAAATATAAACATGAAATTGATTAACTTGTCTTTTTTTTTAAGTGGGAATGTGTAAGTTTAAATGGAATATTTTGACTTCTAATAATAGTTGCAACAAAATCTTTAAAATCAGTTTAATGTCTATATCTGGGCATAAAGTGTTTAGGAGGATGGAGAGGCTAATATGTGTAGTATTTAGAGCATCCACTCTGAAAGCCAGTGCATAGGTTTGAATCCTGGTTCTGTCACTTTCAAGCTTTATGATCCTGTACAAATTTGATGGCTCTATGCCTGAGGCTCCTCATCTGGAAATGGGGTGCTGATGTTACTTAACTCATATGGTTATGATGAGAATTAAATGAAGGTCTGTGCATATTAAGTACTCAATAAATATTGGCTGGTGTTATTATTTAATCATAATAAAATATTAGTTTACTAATATTAAACTACTTTTAACATTATTTTCACCACAATACTTAACAGTTAGATTTACACATTCAAAGTTCTGTTATTCTTCATTGACTAGAGTTCACTTAGTCTTTGGTGATATATTCTAAAAGAATTTTAGAACAAGCAAGGGCACTTGGCTGCCAAAATCATAAACTTGTTTGATTTTAACTTTGTTTTTTAAACTAGCACTGCTGTGTGGTAACGCTTAGTTTTAGAGGACTATAAATATAGAAGAAAAACATTCTTATAGTAGGGTAGCATTTCCAGTTAAAATAAACATACTAAAATAGGAAGCTTTCTTAGTTTTATCAGATATCTACTGTTCAAAATTATACTCACTAGAATTTATTGCAGTAGGAAATTTTAAAAAGGTACCTGCATTTCCCTTTCTCCCAACCTTCAGAATAGGAGGTGGAGAGAAAGATGCTTTTTTCAACTGTAAGCCATTTGGAGATTCTTGCTATGTATTCTGCGTGAAAATGGAGGTAGAGACTGACCTAAACAACTAAATCTCCCCACTGAGATGAAACAAGGGAAGAATTTGTCCATGTGATGCCTTGTTTAGTTGACGTTTATAAAATAGGAATAAAAGTAGAAATAAAAACATAGCACTTTATAATCTTTATTTCTTTCTTTTTAAGGTCCTGGGATCTTAGCCGCTGCAAATAGGACTGAATTGGGAGTTATAGAACCATCTTCACCAAGCCCTACCCCTATTAAAAAAGGCAGTTCAATTAATTGGTCTTTACCAGATAAAATAAAATCTCCACGAACTGTGAGGAAACTTTCCATGAAAATGAAAAAGTTGCCAGAATTTAGTCGAAAGCTAAGTGTTAAGGGAACTTTGAATTATATACACAGCCCAGATAGTACTCCTTCCTTGTCTAAATATAACTGTAGAGAAGTTCATCATGCTGTTATTCTACCTTCTGGGAATACTACCACAGCTGCTAAGAGGAATGTTATAAGCCGGTACCATCTTGATACTACTGTGTCTTCTCAGCACAGCTACCAGAAGAAAACTTTGAATTCAAAGTATTCTTGCCAAGGTGGTTATCTCAGTGATGGAGACTCACCTGAACTTATAACTAAATCTAGCAAACATGGACCTGAAAACAAATTTGGAAAAGGAAAAGAAATCATTCCAAGTAGTTGTAACAAAAATGAAATAGACATAGATGCTTTTAGACATTATAGCTTTTCTGATCAACCTAAGTGTTCACAGTACATATCTGGGCTCATGAGTGTGCATTTCTATGGTGCTGAGGATTTAAAACCCCCTCGGATAGATTCAAAAGATGTCTTTTGTGCAATTCAGGTAGATTCAGTAAACAAAGCAAGAACAGCTTTGCTCACATGTCGGACAACGTTTTTAGACATGGATCACACTTTCAACATAGAAATTGAAAATGCACAACATTTGAAATTAGTAGTATTCAGTTGGGAGCCCACTCCAAGAAAAAATCGAGTGTGTTGTCATGGAACTGTTGTTCTCCCCACCTTGTTCAGAGTGACAAGGACACATCAATTGGCTGTCAAACTTGAACCAAGAGGTCTTATTTATGTGAAAGTGACTCTTATGGAACAGTGGGAGAATTCTCTTCTCAGACTAGATAAAAATCGAGCTTCAGTAATGTTTGGTGTTGACATTCAAAAAGTTGTAGAAAGAGAAAATGTAGGATTGATGGTGCCACTCCTGATACAGAAATGTATTGTGGAAATTGAAAACAGAGGTTGTCAGGTATTATTTTACTGTGTTTCTCTACTACTTCCTTTATTAATTATTGACTTTAAGTCTTGGGGAAGAAATACAAGGTAAGGTAAAAAAATTTAATTGACATTTTCCTATTCCTACTCTTTATTTTTTTGGTATTACTGTTTAGTTACAGTTCATAGGTATGACCTGTGTTGTCAGTGATTTGAGATTGCACCAGATGTTTCCCAATTTGTGCTGTGATACAGAGCTGGGAGGGTTTATAACTAGAGATTAAGATTGCCTTACAGTGGCTTTCCTAGAAAAAGCCAAGGCTGATAATAGGCAAAGGCTAATTCATTTAAGAAATGTTTCTGCATAGTTTGCCGTTCTATGAGAGGATGTTCTAAGAGTGGAGCTAATGACCCTGCTTCATTTTTAAAATTAACTCCCTGCTCTTTTTTTTTTTTTTTTGGTACCGGGGATCGAACCTGGGCCCTTGTGCTTGCCAGGCAGGCGACAGAACCACTGAGCTAAATCCCTGGCCCTGACTCCCTGCTCATTCTGTCTCAGTTTCTCTCTTTGGAAGTCAAAAACTTATCTCTTTCTTTGCTATGGGATAGTATGGAGGCTGAGGAGAGGTCCTGCTAATAAGAACACATCTCATTCCTTTTTAAGTAAGAAGGCAAAGGTAACCGTTAAAAGAAAAACCTGGTGTTACTTGTATTAAAGTATATAAATGTTAGCTACTAATATATGTGGACTATCACTGAGGATATTATTGAGTTATAAAAAGTTTTTACACAGAGCTGGGGATTTAGCTCTGGTTTTGCCGCCTGCTGTGCAAGCATAAGGAGCCTAGTTCGATTCCCTGGTACCAGGAAAAAAAAAAAAAGAAAGTTTTTACACATATTTTTCTGTCATATATTAAGCCTAAAAACACTTTACGTGCAGAAATTTTTTTTAAACTATCAGATTTTTACAACTTTGGCTATAAAAATTAAAAGATAAGGATAATTATAAAAAATCTGAAATATTATTTCTTGACTTTAAATTATCAATATTAGAATATTAATATAGAAACTATAGAAAGAACACAAGTTAGTGGAATTTTGTATTAAGATACTGAAGACCTAGATTCTGGTTTCACCTCTGTTATTGTGTGTGTGATGTTGGGCAACTCACTTAAATCTCTGTGGGTCTTACTTGCTTATGTGCATAAAAATAGATGTAGTAGCTTCCTGAAGCTAAGTAGGACATCTAAACTTCCTAGTACTTTCTTTCAATTCTATAGTTATTTATGGATAAAAAAAGTGAATTTTAAAGAGATTAAAAATCTTGCCCAAATTCACCAAGCAAAGAGTGACAGAGTGAGACTATAACTCCAAAGCCCCTTTTTAACGTGTGCTAATGCAGGATAAAAGATATGAAAGGGCACATGGTCAGGACATGGAGATAATTGGTTAATTGGTTGGGCATATAAAACTGGTACTTTATTTTTTATTTTTTTTTTCGGTACTGGGTATTGAACTCAGGACCTCGTGCTTGCCAGGCAGGCGCAGCCCTGCTGAGCTAAATCCCCAGCCCCGGGCGTATAAAACTAAAGAGAATGGATTATATCTTTTTCTTAAGGTAGCTAACAGTACAAAATCATATTCTTTTAATTGAAATAATAGGATGGTTTATTAAACTAATCAATATAGTCTGTAATGTGATTTCAAAACCTGTGTTTGAGGTTTAAGCACCATCAGAACATATTTGATTGTCAAGTTCATATGATTGATATTGTACTATTATATTTTTACTTATCAAATTTACTATAATGTGGTCATAATTTTATTTCTAGGTAGTAGGCCTGTATCGATTATGTGGTTCAGCAGCAGTCAAGAAAGAACTTCGAGAGGCTTTTGAGAGGGATAGCAAAGCTGTTGGTCTTTGTGAAAACCAGTATCCAGATATAAATGTAGTAACAGGTAATAAACAGATTTTATTTCCTATGCTCCTGTGGAAAGATTGCATCTGAAAAAGCATTCAAATACTATTTTTAACCTAAGTTTAATTTGATTTGATTCTGAATTCTTACTTTCCTTTCTTCAGGATTATTTTCTATCCAGACATATTAAATGTGATCCCTGGCCTCAAGTAGCCAATGTCTGATGGGAGAAGTAAGACCTACGTTAAACTGGGTGTAGTAGCTATCAGACCTCTACCTTCATAGAGGGGTAAATAAAATGCCATAGGAGTTCAGTTTTACTCGAGCTTAGGTAATGTAAAAGTAATTGACTGGTTAGAGAATTTGGGTTTATTTACTAGGCAGAAGGGATTCATGGAAAGATTTTTGAGTAGTGAGTGAAGTTACTAAAGATTGTCTTTAGGAACATTAATCTGGCAACTCCATGTGTTGGATTGAAATGAAAGGACCAGAGGAAGGAGGCCTTGGCAATAGTCCTAGCAATGAAGTAATGAAAGCTAAAGGATGCTTGTAGTACTAGAAATAGGAAAGCATAAGACTGAAAGGATGTATAATAAGACTAGGCCTGGGCCGGGGATTTAGCTCAGTGGTTTCGCCGCCTGCTGCACAAGTGCAAGGACCCGAGTTCGATCCCCAGTACCAAAAAAAAAAAAAAGACTAGGCCTAAAGAAATGTGATTTTGACACCTGGTTGATGGGGTATTGGTAGAAAAAATAAGAAAGCTGTGAGAATAGTTCCTGCTTTTGGTGGGGATACTGAGAAAGATTATACATTAGGTTTTGGATATATTATATTTTAAGTAGTAGTAGTAATAGATCTCAATAGATAAATTAACCAAAGTTAAAAGTGCTTGCTCCTGTGTCACCAAGGAAAGGCTGTAGTAGAAATTTGAGGGTCTTTTCTTTACGCAGATGATAAAGATAATCCAATATATAGCATCGAAAATATATTTACAATACATCTTCTGAGAGATGAAGAAGAAAAAAATGACAGTTTGAGGGTCATTAGCCTGTAGGTGTGTTATGGGAATGTAAGAGACTGGAGAGACCCATGGACTGAAACAGGACTTTATTTCAGGTTTAAGGTGTACACCTGCTCAACAGACTCCTGTCCAAAGGAAGAGCATTGAACAAAGAGAAGTTCCAGCCTTTATACATTTTGTTGAAGAGCGCAGTTTTTCTAGTGACTAGCAAGTGAGTTTACTGGAACAGGATAAGGGCAAACAGTTTTGTGACTTTGCCTTGAAAGAAGACAGAGCCTTATGAATCACAGGAGAACAGAGTGTCGTAAACTTTGTTTCCGGGACATAGTTGTCAGTTTTATCTGTACCAGAACAAGGAGTTACAGCTACAGGGGAGAAGAGGATGATGGGGGGTTATTGCCCAAGGCTGGGAAGGTCCTGCTTTAGATCTAATTAAATCCTTGTAATTGTCCATAAAATTTAAAAGACAAGAACTTCAGAAATCTCCAAAGTTCAGAGGCAGGCAGAGAAAGAGAAACATCCAAAGAGATTGAGAGGAGTAGTCAAACAATTTGGGAAACGAGACAACAGAGGTTAAGGAGGTATGATATAGTGTCATTCTGTGAGAAGATCATAGAAGATGATCCTTCCAAACCATAGATTATGTTGAAGCAGATCTCAGATACCATTTTCTTTTGTTTTCAGATGCTTCAGTATATTTCTTCATTATCTTCTATGTATTTTGTTATTTCTGTTTGTTCTCTTTACTGTCAATGTCATTTTTTTCTGCAGTAGTGTATATTTATCTCTTCCAATTTGTTTTCTTATTTTATATGTAATTGAGTAAGGATTTGAGGCAGGTTCACCTTACCTTGTAATATTAAAGAGATTTTTGTTGGTTGAAACCCTTCAAACTTTTAGGATCGAAGCTTTCTGAATACTTGAGTTTCCCATTCTGAATGCTAAATGTCTGTATTTTCATAGGGAATTTAATATAAACTCTTTGATGACCCATGCTTTAATGTCATTATTTTAATACTAAGAGAAAATAATAAACATACTTTTTCTGAGAAATTTTAACTAATCAGAAATAATAGTTTTATTTTTTATAAAGAGGCTTAAGTTTTCAAAATTGAGATAATTTCTAAAAAAGTAGAATGTTATTCCCTTGTTAATATATAATTAATAAAATAAGCAAAGAACCCATTTTATGAATTTACTATAAAAAATTTTTATAAATACTGTTTTCCAGGATAATACACTTTATAAATAGAAGTGGATTTTTGAGTCATTGAAACCTTGTCTTAGAAATTGTGTTACATATGTGTGATGTAAAAAGATGAAATAAGGGTGGTTTGAATTCATTATTTGCTATTAAAAAAGGGGATTTTTAGTTTTTGAATATTTGCAGCATATGCAAGAAGATGCAGAAAAATAGGTCAATGAATGTTGGATTTTTTGCATTCTTTTCCAAACTCTGAGTCTTTCTTGATTCATGAATTAGTATTTGACTATATTTTTTGTACTATTCCATTTCAGTAAAGCTGTTTTTCAGAAGAATTTAGAGCTGTTTTTTTCTCTCTTGATAATAACCCAATCAAATAATGTAAGATTTGTCCAGGAAATATCATTAGACTTGTAATAAATCATGCATAAGCTCATGATGTCTCAGAATAAAGGATATTGTTCATTTGGAGAATTGGCCAGTAATGATGTTTCCTTATGTGTTTGTTCCACCTGAACTCATACTTCTGAGTAAACTTTGAAATATAATTAATAGTTAAGTAATGGTTAGAAATAAGAAATTAATGAATTGAATGATAGAGTTTGTTCACAGGTTAATGTGTTTTTGTAAGTAGTTTGTCTAGAGTGCACAGTAAATACTACTCTAGACAGACTTTTTTGTTTTGTTTTGTTTTGTTTTTGTTTTTTTGGTGCCGGGGATCGAACTCCGGACCTTGCGCTTTCGAGGCAGGCGGTGGAACCACTGAGCTAAATCCCTGGCCCTAGACAGACTTTTTTTTAAAAGCAAGTACAAAATTTAAGGTATGATGTCCCTTTCATTGAGTGAAGACTTGTGATATCTCACCTGTGGTTATATTTTTACCCCACATCGTCCATCATCCTAGGTAATTTTAACGTACAAATGACCAATTCAGTATCTTAGATTCTCAGTTCTTTGTCATTCCAAGTGACTTTTATATCAACTCTACTTTAGTTACCTACTCTTAATATCATAACTTAGTACTTTTTAATTCAGAATTCAGTTGCCTTTGAAACTTTGAATTCATTTCATTCTATAGAGCTAGTTACCTATCCTTCAGGTTTTCTCATTTAGTCATTCCACTCCTGTTTTTTTTACTAAATTACCCTTTATCTTTGCTTGTTCAGTCCCTTCTGTCCTAATTTCCTGCTCTAGTTATACTAGATTTCATGGTTCATCATTTTGCCCACTTTCATAGACATGTCCTCAGTGTCTGTGGTTCCACCCATCTGGCAAAATCAGTCTGCAATGCCAGTCTTATTTAACAGCTTTCTTGAAGCATAATTGTCATATAATAAAATGCATGTACTTGAGGTATATAATTGCCTTTTTTTTTGTACCAAGGATTGAACTCAGGACCTTGCACTTGCGCAGCGGAACCACTGAGCTAAATCCCTGGCCCCTATAATTAATTGCATGTTTTCACATGTGTATGCACCATAGAATGTAGTCACAATGAATGTATCACTTCCGAAAGATTCCTTAGGCTCTCTTGCTTAAACCTCTCACTCAGTATCCTTTGTCCTAAGGCAACCACTGATATTTTTGGCACAGTAGGTTAGTTTTATTTTCTAGAATTTATATGATGGAACCATACAGCAACCCCCCCCCCGCCCCCACCCCCGTGGCATCTTTCACTGGTAAAATTATTTTGAGATTCATCCATGTTACTGCAAATGCCCATGGTCCATTTCCTTATTTGATTATTTATGGTAATGGGGTATTCTCACTAAACTAGGGCCTTCTCACTAAGCTACTTTCTCCAGCTTTTAAATTTTTTTTTCCTTCTGTTTTGAGACAAGTTCTCACCAAGTCACCAAGTTACCCAAGCAGGCCTCAAAATTGGGGTCATCCTGCCTCAGCCTCCCAAATTGCTGGTATTACAGGTGTGCACCACTATGCCCAGTTATTTTTATTTATTTTTGAAATCATATCTTGCTGTATTGCCAGGCTGGCTTTGAAGCTGTAATGTTTTGCCTCAGCCTTCTGAGTAGATGGAATTACAGACTTGCACCACTGGGCCCACTTTATTGCCGAATAGTGTCCCACTGTATATGGCTCTCCTGCCATTGGTGTTATCCATTGATCTGTTAGCAGATACTCTCATTCTTTCTATTTTGATACTATTGTAAATAAAGTTACTGTGAATATTCATGTACAAGTTATTGTAGTGACATACATGTTCCTTTTGGGGAGGGTAAATAATTATTTTATACCTAAATCGTACTGTCTTGATTATTACAATTTTTTAAAATGTATTTGTTTTTATTGGTACATGTTTGTAGTACATAATTATTACATTCATTGTGGGAAGTTGGTGCATGACATTCCTTAATTCTTTTTTACATGTTTGTAGTACATGATGAGACTGGAAGTCAAGTAGTTTGAGTTCTCCTACTTTTCTTTTTCAAAGTGGATTTGACTTTTTTAGGACCTTACATGCCATGAAAATTCACTGTTAGTTCAAAAAAAAGCCTGTTGGGCTTTTGACCTCCTCCTTTTTTTTTTTTTTGGTCCCGGGCATCAAACTTGAGGACTTGCGCTTGCAAGGCAGGCGGCAGAACCACTGAGCTAAATCCCTGGCCCATGCTGGGCTTTTGATTGCTTTAAATTTTACATTTAAAGCAAATTGACAGTTAACAGTATTGAATCATGTGATCTTAGAACATGGTATATTTCTCCTTCTATTTATGTTATGCTTAATTTTTCTCAGTACTGTGTTGTAATTTACAATGTGTTCTTACACTTTTTATTGGATTTATCAATAAATAATGAC